GTTCGTTTATTTATCACCATGGTCGTTCTTCAATAATGACCTCTTTATCAACTGGATGTTAAAAATACTTTCCTCAATGGTGATTTGCAAGAAGAAATATATATGGAGCAACCTCCTAGGTTTGTTGCTCAGGGGGAGTCTTCTGGGATGGTATGTCGTCTTCGCAAATCCTTATATGGCCTAAAACAATCTCCTAGGGCTTGGTTTGGAAAGTTTAACAAGGTTGTTCAACAATTTGGTATGACTCGGTGTGAAGTAGATCATTCTGTCTTTTATTGACACTCGAGTGCTGGATGTGTTTACTTGATAGTATATGTTGATGACATCGTTCTTACAGGCAGTGACAACCATGACATCTCTCAGTTAAAACAACATCTCTGTCACCATTTTCAGACCAAAGATCTTGGTAAACTTAGATATTTCTTGGGTATTGAGATGACACAGTCCAATGATGGTATTGTCATATCTCATAGGAAGTATGCCATAAATATTTTGGAGGAAACTGGGTTGATGAGTTCAAAGTCTGTTGATACACCCATGAATCCCAATACTAAACTTCTACCAAATCAAGGGGAGCCTATATCTGATCCTGAGCAGTATAGAAGATTGGTTGAAAATTTGAATTATCTTACAGTTACTCGTCCTGACATTTCCTTTGTAGTTAGTGTGGTAGGTCAATTTCTTAATTCACCATGTGAAGATCATTGGAAAACAATCATTCGTATCTTGAAGTATATTAAAGGATCTCCTAGAAAAGGATTGTTATATGGTTCTAATAACCATACAAGAGTTCTTTGTTACTCAGATGCTGATTGGACAAGATCTCTGATATGAATCACAAGGGGTAATTTAGGATCTTTAGGGTTAAAACCTTGTAAGAAATTTAGGAATTAGAAAGAAGGTGGAAGGAAAGAATCACTCTTTCCAAGGAAGGCAACACACAAAGGATGTGAAAGTCCTTTGATACAGCCAAGGGTTCTTGAATCACTCAAGAATTTAGGAGAATCACTCTCACTAAGATAAAAGAGATAAACTCTAATATTTCTAAAAATAAAACTCAACTTGTTATTCCTGATAAAAATGGTTTAGCTTATAAAGAAGCTTTGTCATCAGAGTTACAAATATTCATTAAAGGAAAATAAATGCTAATAATGATTTATTAACCTAGGAATTGAAAACTACTTAATGATTGATTGTAATTGAAATTGTGGCATCCAAAAGTCAATCAGCTATGCACCCTCTTGGTCTCCCAAAGACTGATAACTAATTTTTCAATTGGGCCCTTATTACAACTTGCAATAAAACTAAACTAAAACCCATTAATTGATTAATCCAAAACACAATTTGGTCAACCAACAATACTTGTTGAAGAGCTTCATTTGCTTCCCTTATTCTAGCCCTTATCATAGGTCATGTTCACATCATTCTCTCCCTCTTGAAAAGGATTTGTCCTCAAATCGGATTCGTCATCTACATTAAAAAGAGATAAGTCTGAAAAATTGAATGTAGAACTAACATTATACTCACTTTTTATGGCTAAATAACTCTCCTTCACTTCAAACGTTTCACTTTTCTTCTTTTTTTCTCTATTTTCTTGAAGAAATTTTTCTCTCATTTTCTTTTTATCCTCCTCTGTCATCAATTTGATGTTCAAACCTTTAAATCAGGGCTCTGATACCAAATGATATGAATCACAAGGGGTAATTTAGGATCTTTAGGATTAAAACCTTGTAAGAAAATTAGGAATTAGAAAGAAGGTGGAAGGAAAGAATCACTCTTTCCAAGGAAGGCAACACACAAAGGATGTGAAAGTCCTTTGATACAGCCAAGGGTTCTTGAATCACTCAAGAATTTAGGAGAATCACTCTCACTAAGATAAAAGAGATAAACTCTAATATTTCTAAAAATAAAACTCAACTTGTTATTTCTGATAAAAATGGTTCAGCTTATAAAGAAGCTTTGCCATCGGAGTTACAAATATTCATTAAAGAAAAATAAATACTAATAATGATTTATTAACCTAGGAATTGAAAACTACTTAATGATTGATTGTAACTCGAAATTGTGGCATCCAAAAGTCAATCGACTATGCATCCTCTTGGTCTCCCAAAGACTAATAACTAAATTTTCAATTGGGCCCTTATTACAACTTGCAATAAAACTAAACTATAGCCCATTAATTGATTAATCCAAAACACAATTTGGTCAATCAACAATACTTGTTGAAGAGCTTCATTTGCTTCCCTTGCTCTAACCCTTATCATAGGTCATGTTCACATCAATCTCCTTCGGATAGAAGATATACATCTAGATATTGTGTCTCCATTGGTGGTAACTTGATCTCATGGAAAAGTAAGAAACAAAGTGTTGTGGCAAGATCCAGTGCATAAGCAGAATATAAAGTTATGATCTCAGCTGCCTGTGAACTTGTTTGGCTCAAGCAATTGCTTAGAGAGTTACAATTTGGAGATGTCACTCAAATGACACTTGTGTGTGACAATCAGACTGCTCTTCATATTAATTCTAATCCTGTCTTTCATGAGAGGACTAAACACATTGAGATTGACTTTCATTTCATTTGAGAAAAGATTATGTCTGGAGATATCAAGATTGAGTTTGTTAACTCAAGTGATCAGTTAGCAAATATTTTCACTAAGTCTTTACGGGGGCCTAAAATTGATTATATTTGTAACAAGCTTGACACATACGATTTGTATGCTCCAGCTTGAGGGGGAGTGTTAGATATTGTTTAGATATAGTTTAGATATAGTTTGATATTGTTAAGATATTGTTAGATATTGTTAACCACAATATCAAACAATATCTTCTGTTTATTCTGTTTACTTTCGGTTACTCTTTTAGTTGTACCTCTCTATTATAAATAGATTATCCTATGTGTGATTTATACATAAGGGAGATTAATTTCAAATCCTATTTCCTCTATATTCAACCATATGAATACTTTTTTAGGTTTTTATTTATTAATTAATACTTTTATTAGATAAATTGAAAAAATTATTAAATTTATGTGTTAAAATAATTTATTATAATCAATAATTTAAATTTAATTAATTAATTTTTTATAATTTAAATTATAATATTATAATATATTTATATATTTTAATTACATAATATAAAAAATATAATATTTTTAATTATTATCCTTTTTATTTTACTTTTAATATATAAATATTATTTTAAAACGGATAAATTCACCCTCGCCATTGACCCAATGAATTGGTAGGCTAGGCGAGACAAGTTGGTGGGCTACAACCACCAACCCGTCCCGCCACTTTTTAGACGGGCTGAACTGATCCATTTAGTCTAATCCATTTTTTCATCACTAATAATTTCCTATCCATCTAACCTAATTAGATTAAATTGATTTTTTTATTATTATTAGATTAAATTTGAATCAATCCAATCTACATCAATCTCCTATGAATAAATAATGAATTTTGTAAATTCAGTTCAATACCTAAACCAGAAGACAAAAAGTATTAAATAATATTGGCATTTATAATAATAATAATAATAATAATAATAATAATAATAATAATAATAATATAACTATTATTTAATTTATTTTTTAATTATTTTATTAAAAAAATATTTATTTGTTAAATAATTCAATTAATAAATAATATAGTATAGTTTCAAAAAATTAACAAAAACATTATTTTAAAATTAAATTTTCTAATAAATAAATTATTTCTTAAAAATTTGTAATTCAATTGACTCTCGTTCAACTCTATCAAAAACGGGTTGAATTGGGTAGAACAAAACAAATAATAAATCTAATCCAATCTAACGTAGCTGTAAGAGTTCTTCTTTTCTTCTTCTTCTTATTCTTTTTCTTCTTCTTCTTTCTTTCTTTCTTTCTTTCTTTCTTTCTTTTTTTTTTTTTTTTTTTTTTTTTTTTTAAGGTGATTGGTATAACTAATCGTGACTCAATCCAACCACTAGCTATCACCCAGAGGTTCTTATAGGGTGCAGGAAGTTGAATCAAGATAATGAATGCACACATAGGGTAAAGCAAGTGCTAAGCATACAAGTTAGTAGCAAGTGAATAAGGCAAATTCTTGAGGAAAGTTGTCCTGAAACCCAGACACTGTTGATATAAGCAAAAGGACACTGAAATGTTACATCTTTCTCTGCTTCAACCATGTGATGATGGAATAAGTTAAGTGAATGGTGCAGACTATAGTTAGATTCATTCTTGTCTCTACTTTTTCGTTTTGGTTAAAAGAATAATTGGCCGTTCTATTTGCAAGCTCATTATACCAATGAAATCAGAAATTGGTTTTCGCTGGTATTGGCCTTTCGAATGCGCATAGCAAAATCAAATAGGTACTCTCACAGATTCACAGTAACATACAGCTCTTGTTTTTCTAGCCGTGTCAACTTAGTAAAACATAGCTTCCATTTCATGTTAGCCACATCAACTTCATATGCCATTATTGTCTTCTCAAGACTTTTTAAGAACAACAAATAATTGCCCCAAATAGCTAATATGGGTAATATAAGACAGAAAAATATAAAATGATGGAGGAAATATACCTGGATAAAAAATCATAAGAAAATTCACTGGCAAAAGGAAGCAAGCATTGTCTATGCATATAGTAAATGAACTTCTTGCAGACAAATAATACCTTCACTTCATTCATTGAGATGGAAGATCATTGCTGCGAGTTCAAAGCTACTAATTTGAGCTTATCAACTAGATTCTATATGTAGTGGAATGAATATTCTACATTTGTGCGTAAATGAGCAATTTACAGCGAGGGAAACCACATGAGTATGCATAAATTTTCTCATGAAAAAATGTGAAAAAGGGCAGAAGAAGAAATCGGGTTGGCCTAAATATCTGAAAGTCCACTTCAGGTTGTATTTTGTCATGTATAAAGCAGAACCAGTCAATGCTTCAGTTACTGAAACAAAGCTTCAACAAAATCATGATAAGTTGAAGAGAATTTGATCAGATCCAGTGCCAGTGCCTACTAATCCAAGACTTCAGATGGCCAAAGGCGTTTCCAAATGGAAATCTCAGCCTCACTCTTAATCTTTCTTATTCCACCATAAAATCCGTCAGCCTCATTTCCCTTCTCCCTATGATCTTTCCTACTGATAGTGGTCTGCCTCCATCGTGAGCCAGGAGTGTAATGATTGAACTCTAGCACCACAGTGTCTGCAACCAACAAATTTAGCACTACGTAAGCTATGTTTGAATCTCAAGAAACCCCTCTCAGGGATAGGATATGATATAAAAATGCCAATGCCTGGACCCGTGCAGTAGTGGAAACTGACCACCCCATCAGCATCATTATAGTAGTTTTTTAGTGCTACCAGTTTCAATGTATGCAACCTTTATAAATTAAAAATTTTCATCCAATTATGATTCATTGGCAAAAGGTGAAAGACTGACAAGAACTAAATTTTAACTAAGCATAAGTTTGTTGGGAGAAAATTAGTTAAAAAAGAAATCCTCAGTCCTTACCCTTTCAACTAATTCATACCCTTCAAGAAAATTAGTTAAAAACAATAAATTTGTCACTAATTTGTATTTTCGTTCCATAATTATTCTTGCATATTGAAAACAAAAGTAGTTGGGAGAGACTTCGGTATCCGTGAGGACTGGACTTATATTCTCACATCAGATTAAGAGAGAGGGACTTTTTGTGATTTATTTCAAATATTTAATTAAGGGTATAAACAATTTTCTGATGCCAAATGGATCTTATAAAAGATATAAACAATTTTCTGAAAAAGAAACTTATAAATAGGGATGGAGGGAGTAGTGTTTGGAAGCTTATAATAATCATGTTAGTCCAACAAAGCAGAAAGATTCCTAACGGAGATGAACAACCTACAAAAGGAATCAAGTTCTTTAAGCATAGTTGGCCATAAATGTACCCACTGAGACACAAATTATCAATCTGTTGGTGGAAATGATGACATACGGACCATAAGATGTCTTGGGGACCAACCAAATAGCATAGCAGGTGGTCCATGCTTAGATATATCACAATCCAGAAAGACCTGCCAAACCAGTGGTCTGGTCTGCCAAATTAAACGAACTACACATGCATGTCAATTTTTTTCAGTGTATAGCCTCCACAATAATGGCAATAATAATAATTGTAGATTAGTTTTACCATATTAAAAATCAATAAACCAGCAAACTTTAAGCATTACTTAATTTCTGTCTTCAAAATTTCTAACCCACAATCATTTTTATTTTTCAAGAAATGCCCAAGATTGGTCCTTTCACTGATAAACTGGATAACAATCAATCATACTTGGAGCCAGAATATAATCCTATTTTGCAAGAAGGGAAGAAAAGATGATGGTTGGACTCAATTAGTGATAAAAACTATAACCAAGAAAATGAAATGATTGATAATAACAAGCATCCAAAAGGAAGTTCAAATTAACTCACCACTATTGTGACACCGGCAATAATTTTCACTCCCATTGCATGACTCCAAGTGGCCTACAACACCATACCACCAACCTGCCACGAAGGTGGATCTCATCATGCAGCAATTCATTTTAGCTTATTATAACTCCAAGATATACTTCTAATATAAAGTATACAAAGGCTCTTATATCAATCAAGGTATACAGGATTAAGGGTACAGCATAGACGAATGTCAATATTATTCGAAAAGGAGTGTCCAATTTTCAAAATCTCATCACAGGGGTATAAAGAAATGGATAACTAAGAAAAAGGTAATCATTTTAACATATCAAATACTCAAAGTACACCCAACTGCCCCTTTTATTGACTCTGTCAATATAGACATGGTCCTGCAGTATGTAGTTATTCTCTTCTATGTTTAGTAAAACTTATATGGTTCTTAAGGTAGACTCTTTACCGGCCAGAGAAGTAATTATTACTAGGATTAATGCAAAATAAATAAATAACCAAGATGTTGGAGAAATGAACAAACCATAAGGAAATTCTTTGTTTCTCCTCCACTGAATCTCTATGTGATCACCCGGATACAGATCACTTAAACAGTCGGAGACATGAAGATCATGTGGAGAAGCATCAATAGGAGGGGCTCTTAGCCTTTCCCATGGGATGCCACACTCTTTAGCATCTGCCCTTCTTCCATGTGGAGGATACCTGTAATAGGCAACAAATCAATAATTAAGCCATCAGATCTAAATTTCATTTTATTTCCTCTTCTGCTTTCTCAAAAAGATCTTGAAACTTGCTAATCATATCTAAGACTATGGAACCAATGCCATATGTATAGATAGACTATATGAGCACCTACAATCAAGCCAATACCTGGCTTGGAAGGTATCGCTTCGCGGATCATAGCTAATTTCAGCATCATAGCAAGATAACATGAATCCAACATGACCATTCTACACCACCAACAGCAAAAATGTAACTTGTGAGAGAATACACAACCTACTGTGTTAAATTGAAATTCAAGCAACTCTTTTTATTTGTAGATAGCAAGCTAGATATAAGTTTCCAATAGAAAAGTACAACAAAAGGGTTTGTACATATTACATACCTCACGGTTATAGACCTGAGCAGGGAACCAAAAACTGCCAGACTCAAGAGCAAGATAAAAGTTCATGATTGAGTCAACAGGCAAAGAGCTCCTCTGCTTGGGGCTATTATTTGCATCAACCTTTGGTCTCATCCATTGCAAAGGCCAACGAAAGGACATAAATCTCGTCAAACCCCTTTGCCTGCCATGTTTAAGAACCCTAATATTCCTTTTGGAAGCAACATGCCACTTCCACTCCCTGTAAGCAGCAGGACCAATAACTCTACCCCACTTCTGCTTCATGTGCCTCTCCCAAAGGTGATCACTCACACACCTCTCCCTCAAACAGCGGCAAACGGTAACCATTTGGCACAGTGCAGAGGGAGGTAGCCTTTCAAGAATGCAATCCAAGGCCAACTCAGGCAAGTCCAACACTGACATGTCATGGCTTTCCTCAACATTCTCTACTCTTGAAGTCAGGCTCTTCCTCATCAGAGACATTCCTGCAGGAATCTGACAGACAAAACCAAGCCAAAAGCGGTTTCTGAACAGCTTGGAGATTGTTCTCACAGACAATTCTTGAGAAAACAAAAGGGGAAGTAACCTCATGTCAGTTGCCCATGATGGGAGAGGTTTGAGAAGGAGGGACTTTAAAAACAAGAAGAATGAGATGCAAGTGATGAAGTAAAGTAGCATTAGAATATCGAAAGTCTTTTACGGGTCAAAATTGGATTTGGCGTATGTGATAAGAGAGAGAGAGAGAGAGAGAGAGAGAGAGAGAGAGAGAGAGAGAGAGAGAGAGAGAGAGAGAGAGAGAGAGAGAGGCTAAACTGTATATAGAGTCAGTGGAGAAGCCAATTGCGGAAAGGCAATAGCTTATAAGAAGAAACCTCACTATTTAACCCAAACTGAAGCAAAGTTGGAATCTTCAACACCTTTTAAAGATGGGTTTCCTTTTGGTTCAAAGAAACCCCACCAAAACCCCAATGGTGAGCCTTCCAACCTCAAAGTTTGAACAAAATACACAACCACGCACACCGACGAACAAGAGTGGAAATTGCCTTGACTTGAAGGCTTGAACCCCTGTTATGCTAGGAGAATAGCAAATAAAGAACAAAAGATTAACAAGACTATGAAACAGATTTCTCCCCCTTATTGGCTTGCAACAGCAAAAAGAAGCACAACCGTACAGACAACGTTAACAGCTGTCATTCAATGAAAGATTGAATCTATAGCAACAGGTCCTATGAAGGAGTTGAAGCCAGGAAGCTAAATAAGGTGGGGGCACCAAGATCTGTATCAGGGGGTTTTTTTGATACCTGGAAATTGGGATTGGCAAGACAAGAATGAAAGGGGAAAAAAAAGAACAAAGATGAAATAAGTCTAGATGCAAAGACCCGTATCTAAAGAATCTCTAGGGCAATTGAATAATGAATCCTGTTATGGGAATATTTTGTTCCTAGAACAGATCCGTGGTAGTTGCAATTGAGGCAGTAATTGGTCCACACACACCCCAAGGCCAAAGGACAACAATTCTTGGGGTGGTGTGCACATGAACAGAATAGGATTGATCAAAAGGTATTGATGGAGGTAGTGGTGGTGGTGATGAATGTTGAAGAAGGGGAGGGTGGTGGGTAGGTGGGTAGGTCCTCTCCTCCACCTCCTTGCCCCTAACAAATTCTTCTTCGCCTCACACCACACCCCAATTGTGCTCTATATTCAAGGGATCCCCAGTCTTGTATCACCTTGTCTTTGGAACAATTTAGCCAACAGTTCGTAGGCAATAAATGGATACAAGAATGAGTTATTTACGAAACAATGGGCGGCTATGGTTAAATAAAGTAACGTTTTTTTTGTGGATATGAAGACACATTTCTACTTGTAGATTCTGTGATCCAATAGAATCGATTACCCAAAATATTTATAAGGAAATTAATAAAGAACGACAATGTTGTGTTGATTAATTGGAATTAGTATCTATTATAATGTTTTGAAAATCTCATCTTTTGCAAGTGGGTGGGAGGGAAAAAGACAGCCGTCTTTGGATAACGTATGGAGCAGAGCAGCTGTTAACACTGACCCTAAGACTGCCCGTCCACGACCGTTGCTTCCCTGCAACTTTGTCTATTGTTATGAGTTTAATCAAAACATCATATTCATTGCACGCACTATTAGTGTCAGAGAACACCTTATAATGGTTTATACAAATGTATGGATTTTATATTTAGTTTTTAATAAAAAATTAGTGTTCTCCTTATTTTTTTTATTTTGTTCTTGTCATTAGATTATCTTATATAATAAATTATGACACAATTATAAATATGTTACTCATTATAATTGTGTAGTTTCGGTTTTATTTACAACATTAAATTTGATCCTTAAAGTATATAATGATAACCTCGTCATAAATTTTTTAATTCATTTTAATTAGTTTCACACATAAAAGATTTATTAAGAATTCAACTTGAGTCTCGTATATTATCTCATGTACTTTTACTTTTATTTGCATATATTTTTATTTGAAAAGATATTTTATTTTAATTGCAATTGGTAAATATAATAAAAAAATTCAAAACATAATTTATTTCATTGAAGATTTGAAAAAGGAAAAAAAATTATTACATTGATTTTGGGGTTCACAATAAATTAAAAATTAATAGTTATATAACAATAAACAACATATATAACAATAAATACTTAATATATTTATTTAATTTACATTTTATTCTTCAACATGTATATTCATCAAATTCAGTTGAAATTGTCAATAAATTTGACTTTAATGCATATGGACTCTTCTTTACAATATGTTTTGAAGTTAGAATTATGATCTTTATATTTGTTTTCTTTATGAGTAATTCACTCAAGATATATTACATCTATTATTCTCAAATTATATTAGTTCTTTTAATAATAAAGTGTATAGGTGAAAATTTTTCTTGCAAATCATTAAAAAAATAAGATTGATTTAAATATCATTATTTACCCTTACAACACCAAATATGCCAAACTTATAAGTATTCATGCAACATCTTCAACTATGGTCATAGTCATGGGTTTATTATGATCACCTTTTATTTATATATATATATATATATATATATATATATATATATATATATATATATATATATATATATATATATATATATATATATATATATTAATAGTGAAAGACCTTATCTATTTATTACATTGAGCCTTAGTTAGAAATACTAGTTGTTACATTGAGCCTTAGTTAGAAATACTAGTATGGGCCATAAAGACTATATTATGGATCATGGTGACTCTCTTGATCAATGTGACTTTTACATGCTTTTATTATTCAGAGTCAGAACTTAAATTTCATTTTTTTTTATTAAATTATGTGTTTTATGATATTTATTTTGTATTTGTATAATATAGTAGTTGTTAATCTTCCTTCCCCTGTTAATGTTTTTTAAAGGAAAACTATTTTATTCTTAAAACTAAAAATGTTATTTTCTCTTGTTTTCTTTAGAATACAATGAATTCATTACCATTCGTATGTTATAAACAAATGCATCTCCTCCGACAAACAAATCACCCTCAATGCCTCTTGTAAACTTGCAAAGAATGTGTTGTAAATATAAAAGTCAAAGGTAAAGAGAAAAAAAAGATCAAGATCAAAATTTAATTAAAGACTTAGTTGGACTCAAGACTAGTGGAATACTTAGAAAGACACTCTTTCTAGTAGAAGGTGAATCTTTTATAGGAGGTCCAATAGTCAAAGGTCCAAAATATTGAGGAAGTTAAGAATATTACATATATTACATCCTTGGAGAGCTAAAATAAAAATATTTTTACTTTTTTTTTAGTTAGGATTGTTAAGTGGTAAAAAGTTAATATAATTATGCCTTGAATTGTTATGAAATCACTTAACTTATGTTAATTCTAATATATTTTTCTCCCAATATAGGATGAATTCGAGAATACCTTAATACAAGAGTAAGAAGCATAATTGTCAGCATAATTGGAGTAAAACTGGAAAAAGGAAGAAAAATTTCATCATGGAAGTCGCTTGAGCCGGATAGATTCTCGCTTGAGCGAATGTTAGTTATTCTTCTCTGGAAGTCAGTCACTCAAGCGCAGAAAAATTCGCTTGAGCGAATGTTAGTTATTCTTCTCTATAGTTTATTCGCTCAAGCGAGCGTTTTGTTGCTTGAGCGAAAACAAGAAACTTTAGCTTGAGCGAAAGTTCTCGCTCCAGCTAAAGACGCAAAGCCCAAAAGCCCAAATTTTTCCTACAAAAAGAGAAGATGTGTTTCGAGAAAAACAAGCGGGTTTGGAGGAGAAGAGGCGCGACTACTGCTAGGGTTTCGTCCAATCTTCATCAATTTTTCACTTCTTCCATATTTGGAGCATTATAATGGCCAACATGAGTGGCTAACTTCATTCTCTTAGGATTCGGTCCACTTCCTTTGAACTCTTTTGTATCATGGTGATATTTTGAGATATTAATCTATGTTTTGATGTTGTTATTCTTATCCTTTGTACTTTGGAATGATTTATTCTTGATGTTTGGGGTATGATTGGAAAATATATCTTGAACCCTAGATCACGGTAAGAATATTTGTTATGTTAATTTCCAGGAATGGAATGAATGTATCAATTGCTTAACACCCTAAACCTAATGCTGGAAAATCTCTTAATTGTGTGAGGAATCAACATTTATCAGGTTTTCTTATGAATTTCATGTGTGAGGAATCAACATGGATGATTTGAGTAGGTGACATCAACATTGTTAGGTTAATTGACGTTCTTAAGTGACATAGCCATTACAAAAGAGAGATAAGGAAGGAAACTCAATCCTAAGTACCTTTAATTGATATTTTCTCAATAATTTACAGTTCTTTGTCATTTAATTTCAATTCAACTCTTATTGCAAAACCCAATCTGTTTTAATCCACTTAGTAAGCATAATTGAGAATTTCCATTGAAATCGTTCCTCATGTGATCGACTTTTATTTAATCGAAATACTATACTGCAATTGATAATTTTGGTACGCTTGCCAATAATTCAACAAGTATTTCTGGCGCCGTTGCCGGGGATCGGTGCGCCGTTGCCGGGGATCGGTGTTTTTTGAGAATTCTTTGTTTAGCTTATTGAGTATTTTATTTTTATTTTTGTTTGTTTTATTTTTCAGTTTTAGTTTTTGGCTTATGCTAATCTTTGGTGAGATACTCTTTTGATTTATGCGTTTAAGAGGACAGGTATCTTCAGAGCAGTTAGAATTTAATCCGGAAATTGAAAGAACAACTCGGAGGAACCGGGGTAGAAGAAGAAGGGAAACTCAAAAACAAGCCACAAGGGAGTCAACTAATTCTTCTTCCACACTTGATTTACCAGACCCAATTATAGAAGATATGGCAGAAGACGGAGCAAATCTGAATCCAAATCCAAATCCAAATATAAATCCAAATCAAAATCCAAATATAAATCCAAATCAAAATCCAAATTCAAATCCGCCTAGAAGAACTCTCAGAAACTATGCTATGCAGCAAGGTCCAAGACACTTTTCCAGCATTGCCATACCAGATGATCAGACATTGCAGATGAATCCAACTTTCTTAAGCTTGATTAGTGCTCACCAATTCACTGAAATGGATCATGAAGACCCTTATATTCATTTGTCTACTTTTTATGAGTTGATTGGTACCATGGGATTTAGAGCAGCAAATCTTGAATATGCATATTTGAGATTATTTCCTTTTTCTTTGGCAGGTAGGGCAAAGGAGTGGCTAAAGGCACATCCTAATCAGAGTTTGACTAATTGGAGTAGTGTAGAAGATAAGTTTCTGAACAAATTTTTCCCACCATCCCGCTACATCATAGAAAAATCTGACATCACTTCTTTTAGACAAGGAACAGATGAACATTTTTGTGAGGCATGAGAGAAATTTAAAATCACTGTTGAGAAGATGCTCAAATCATGGATTTGATGACATTGCTCAGTTGAATATTTTCTATACTGGCTTGCGACATGATGCAAAGATACTATTAGAGGTTGCAGCAGGAGGATCCATGTTGGATGTGGAAATTGATCATGCGACAAGAATTATTGATGCACTAGCTTTTACAGATCAACAGGAAACATGATAGACATCCAGTTCAAAGAAAGGGAGTACTTGAACTTAACACTTCAGATGCTATCTTAGCCCAGAATAAAATTTTGACGCAACAAATTGAAGCATTGAACCAGAAAATAGAGAAATTACCTCAACAAATGCACACAGTACAATTCATTCCTAATCAACAGATGAGTTGTGATGTGTGTGGAGGTGATCATGCAAATGAACAATGCTCTTATCAAGGCAAAATTCAACAAGAAGAAGCTAATTATATGGGTGCTCAAGGTAGTAATCAAGGCAGACAAGGTAATTTCCCTAATTCCAACAATTATCAGAATAATTTTGCACAAGGATGAAGAGGGAATCAGAATCAGAATTTTGGGTGGAAGCAAGGTGTTATCTCATCAACAAGACAACCTACATTTCAACAGTAGTTATATCAGCAACCTCCATATCAGCAGCAA